TTAATGATATAAAGATATTTCATTTAACTATTTTCAACATTTTTTTTTTTTTTTGGGGGGGGGGGATAAATATATAAACGTTTGTATCAGGAATATAGTTGACAATTGATCAATATAGAAGACTGGTGGGAGAAGGTCGAACATAAAACAATTATTTCTTTTTAAGAAAATGATTAAATATGCCTACCATTTTATGAATAATTCCGAGCAAACAATAAAAAAAAGTAAACACACAGGTTTACGCAGAAATTATCTCTATTTATCATGGCAGATGCCACTACGAATATTTTAATTTTGTAGATTTTCAGTATAAACAATTTATTGTTTGTAAAATTTGAGAAAGATATTAAAGAAACATTGATAATCTTCAAACACATCATTCAAGTTTTTCCACCTTAATCGGTAAAATAATTATAGAAAATTAGAAATAACACGTAATAGTTTTTAATTCGGACTTATTACAGGTAAATCCGTAACGTACCGGCAAACGGTATTTAGCTAGGTTTTCGAAAAGGTCAATTAACCAATCATGTACGGTTTATAGATCACATGCTCCTCCATGTACCGAAAACAGGTCACGTGCTCCTCCATGCCTCAAAAGTTACTCTGCGGTCTTCAGACCGCAGGGAATGATCAAACATAATCCACAAAGCCTCAGATACCGAGCTTTATTAAGCATAAACACTAAATAATGGTTATAAGCGAAAACTAATAGTAATCACGCCATGCGAGCTATCAATCAAATAAATCACATTTTAACAAAATATATCAGGGAACAAAAAATTGTCAATTTTAAATGACTTTTACATAAAAGTAATACAAAAAAAACTTAACCGTAAATAGTTTGTAGAGAGCATGAAGAAAGGTAGCTTATTAAAGGTATATGACGTTAACATTTTAGTATTCCAAATGGCTTGTTCCAGTTTAATAGTTATCACTTAATGAAAGAATTGGTCACTACAAAATGTTTGAATGAAATAATGAAAAATGGAATTCAGCATAATCCAAAGTTTAAATATCATAAAGCAAGATGTAATCAAGCATAATGCAAGTTCTAATGTCATGTAGGCTGTAGCAAGATAGAATTAAGCATAATGCAAGTTCCAATGTCATCACGCTAGATGGAATCAAGCATAATGCAAGTTCCAATGTCATCAAGCAAGATAGAATTAAGCATAATGCAAGTTCAAATGTCATCAAGCAAGATAGAATAAATGCATTAATTCTGTTCCATATATATCGGCCAATACTATTTTTCTTTACATGGTTAACTGCTCCAGTAGTTAACTGCATTGAAAATGAGGGCCGTGGGTTCAATCCCCAGAAGGGCCAACTTTTTTTTTCTTTCTTTTTTTCTTTTAACATTATTTATGTATCTCTCATGTCCCATTTTGAAAGAAAAAATTGTTTAATTTTGTTTTTTTTTAATTAATATTGGTATTTATTGGCTAAATAATGCTCAATCGAATAAAAAATATGGTACCTGATATTTTTTAAGTCTAATTTAATCAAAACTACAAGGTAATAGTAATTAATAGTTTACAACATCAACCAATTTATGAGAAAATTAAGGGAAACTTTGAAAACAGGCACTCATTTGGGTAAATTTTAAGGATTTTTTAAATAAGGCTCCCTAAGTAGGAAAATGGTCAGACACGTGGTAAAAATGGGTGGGGTAGAGTAACATTTTTATACAGATTTCATAAACTTTAAGTAGAAACCATTATTTTGCTTATGAATGGTATTATTTGTTTCTTACCAAAAATTAATGGGAAAACATTTTTCATTAGAATGTTATTGCAGATTATTTAAAGGTTCCTTATTTCTAAAAATGGGCCCTCATTACATCCTAGCTTGAGTTCAGAACAGTGGCCATAACTTGATTTCTGTACGGTAAACTTTGTTGCATACAGGTGTACTTTAAGGTATATATCTGACCTATGATGTCATTTTTTTAGTTCCTTATAGTGCCCATTAGGGTCGCAACCTTAAGTAACACTATCATTATGAATGATTAATAACCGGATGATTATTTTAACATTCAACTCTTCTGTCAACTGATTCAAACTATGGTCTAGTGGTTAAGGTGTCTGCCTTTCAACCAAAGGATCATGAGTTCGAGCCCTACACGACCATGATTCCTCAATTGATACCAGTACGTATTGGTTCCATGCAGGAAGGAGAGTCGAAAGTTATTAATATAAGTTGCAAGAACTTGTTTTGCAATCGAGCTAAAATAAATATGTTTAAACTTACTGATTCATTATCCACAAATAGCACAGCTGGCAAATATTTAGAGTACCAAAGTGGGTCATGTAGGAAGCTGTTAATAGACACCGATTGGCCACTTCAACAGAATTTTTGATGCCAATGAATAATAAAGAAGCATCATTGTAGGTGGTTGGAGAAAGCGTCACCATGTCCAAACATACATTAAGAGTATACGGGAAGTCAAATGATTTTAAAACACGTATTATAAGAATGGAGAAAAGGGAAAACGCTTATCATGCTCGCTGGTAGAAAGCTGAGGGGTGTTTCTTACAAAAGAACTTTGAAATGCACCATTTGAAGTCATTCCTGGTTGGATTGATTTGTGTATTGTCTTATTCAAGTGTTTTCATTGCATTTATGTGGTTTTTGTGTATTCTGTAGAACCCCATTTCTGGTTATCTGCAATCTATTAAACCATTCCTCGTCAAGTATTTTACGATATTACGAATTATTACCCCAAATGCAATCTAATTCATATTGATGAGGGAGCTTGTCGTTAGCAAAATACTTCAGTCAATTCAATAGTGAGTGACCATGTGACTGCTCTTAACCAGTGATACTAGTGGAAGGAGAAAATAGAGACGCGTCATGACAAGAGCAACATAATGGGTTTGCGACCAGCATGGATCCAGACCAGCCTGCGCATCCGCGCAGACTGATCAGGATCCTTGCTGTTCGCTTTCCAACCTTATAACAAGTAAAGAAACTGATAGCGAATAGCTTGGATGCGCAGGCTGGTCTGGATCCATGCTGGTCGCAAACGCTCTAAGTTGGTTTTGTCATGACGCAGCTCAAATGCACTTCATTCATTTAACAAGAGGGCCATGATGGCCCTGAAATCGCTCACCTGTATATAGGCCCACAGAGCGATGCCAGTTTAAACCCAAGGGCTTTTATTTGAACAAAATTGGTAGACACCCATTAGAAGATGTTTCATGCTAAACATCTAAGGTCTAGCTCGTTGAGTTTTAAAAAAAAAGATTTTTTAAGTTTTTACTATACACATATAGTTAAAAGCAATGACATCCCTAGGGCGGGGCCAGTTTTGACCCCAGGGCTTTTATTTGAACAAACTTTGAAGACACTCACTAGAAGGTGTTTCATGCTTAATATCTAAACTCTAGCTATTTGTTTTTATTCAAAGAAGATTTTTAAGTTTTTGCTATACACATATAAGGAAAATTAATGTCCCCCGGGGCAGGGCCAATTTTGACCCTAGGGCTTTTATTTGAACAAACTTTGAAGACACTAACTGGAAGATGTTTCATGCTTAATATCTAAACTCTAGCTATTTGGGTTTTTTCAAAGAAGATTTTTTTAAAAAGCTTTTGCAATACATATAATTATAAGGAAAATCAATTACCCCCGGGACAGGGCCAATTTTAACCCCAGGGCTCTTATTTGAACAAACTTGGCAGAAACCCATTAGAAGATGTTTCATGCTAAATATCTTAGCTCTAGCTCTTTTGATTCTTTAAAAGAAGATTTTTTTAAGTTTTTACTATATGCATATAGGGAAAATCAATGACCCCCTGGGGCGGGGCCAATTTTGACCCTAGGGCTTTTATTTGAACAAACTTGATAGACACTCATTAAAAGATGTTTCATGCTAAATATCTTAGCTCTAGCTCTTTGGGTTCTTTAAAAGAAGATTTTATAAGTTTTTACTATATGCATATAGGGAAAATCAATGACCCCCTGGGGCGGGGCCAATTTTGACCCCAGGGCTTTTATTTGAACAAACTTGATAGACACTCACTAGAAGATGTTTCATGCCAAATATCTAAGCTCTACCTCTTTGGTTTTTTTAAAGAAGATATTTTAAGTTTTTTTCTATCGGTTGCCATGGCAACCAGAATTCTGCATGGATTTAAATTCTTTGAACAATTTTTAAAGGTGACCACCAAAGGAACATTCCTGTGAAGTTTGGATGAATTAAATTGGCTCAGCAGTTTATGAGGAGATGTCATTTAAAATAAAAGTTTACGGACGACGGACGGACGCCGGACGAAAAGCGATCACAAAAGCTCACCCTGTCACTTTGTGACAGGTGAGCTTAAAAGAACAAAACGTAATGTGATATAAAACATTTATTACATTTTCATACCACATAATGTGATACATATATGAGAAAAAAATAAACTCATAATGTAGATTTATGTAATGAAGAATGAGAAAACACATTCTTTTAAGCAAACTAAATATTATGCAAATAATACAAATGCTTCCAAAACGGAGAACTGTTTTTTCAGAAACAAAATAAGCTCATATTGTAAATGTAATGTAATGAAGAATGAGAAAAAAACATTCTTTTAATCATACTAAATACTATGCAAATAATAAGAATGCTTCTAAAACGCATTAATATATATTTCAATTACGTTATTTAAAGTAATTGCAATTGTCGACTTTTTAAAAGTCAAAATTCAAACATTTCCCCAAAAATGAGTTTGTAAACACGACGGGAAAATTCCTCGGCGTATATAAAGTACTAAAATGTACTGCAATTAATAATTGCCATATACAGGTACTGCAGTATTCTCAAAAGACAATCCCTTCAACCGAGATCAATGACAACACAGTATCATCGAACAAAAACTGAAGTCTGGGATTGATTTAGACAATGACATACCTCATTTTGTGCCCACTTAATTAGTTATTTATAGTGGAAAGATAATTGCTGATAAAACTTTACAAGAAATACATACAACGCCTTTTTCAAGTAAAGGCATGTCTTCCTACCCACACAGCCCACGAGTCATTAACATAAACGACATTAACAGACAAACACAATACAATGTCATATAAAGCTAAAATATACATTCATACCATTTGGAAAGTTCAACTTTCATTTGTACATTTAAAATAAACATTTTAAATTGTATTTGAAATACATACATGGTAGAACTTTTGATCTCAAACGAATAAGTGGCACAAATTACAACCCAGACACGTTCATCCCATATTAAATATCAATACAGCCTGACACCAAACCCTTACGTTCATACTGTTAGATGCAAAATTTCAAGACATATTTTTTTGAATCTCCTGAATTTAAGTCCAATATCAAAATATAACGACGCAGTACCGTTGAAGACAGAATTCAATATGCTGCTCTACTGTACATCGCCAATAATTTTTATGTTTCTATATGCACATTTATATGAAAGTCTCCGTTTTAAGACATTAAAATTAACAACAACAAAAAACAGTAAAATGTGTTTGATTGATTTGTTGATAACTGCTCTAAGACAAAAATATTAGTACAAAAATCAGAAAAACATAACCACGATATGGCTACAATATATGATAAAAATTCTCTTTTCGCCATGCAATACTTTATGCAATAGCTTTGTCACAAAAGTATTTAACATGCACTAGAACTAAGTACATGGGTTTCTAATGGAAACGATTTGTTTTTCATAATAATGACAACTTTGGCATAATAATTAAGTCTGCATGGACAATTGTGTTCACTGGTTTGATATGATGGTGTGTTATCTAAGTCAGGGCGAACGATCAAGTTGCCTGGCTTGATATGATTGTGTATAGTTTATGTCAGAGTGGACGATTAAGTTGTCTGGCTTATTATTTAAGCCAGAGCTAACGATTAAGTTGCCTGGCTTGATATACTGGTTTAAGTTGTCTGGTTTGGTATGAGGGTGAATAGTTTATGCCTGAGTGGACGATTAATTTGTCTGGTTTATTATCTAAGCCAAGCCAGAGCGAACGATTTGAAAGTTGTCTGGTTTGATATGATGTTGTTTTGCTTATGTCCGAGTGGATGATTAAGTTGTCTGGTTTGATATGATGTTGTATTGATTATGTCCGACTGGATGATTAAGTTGTCTGGTTTGATATGATGTTGTATAGTTCATGTCCGACTGGATGATTAAGTTGTCTGGTTTGATATGATAAAATATAAATTAAAGAAAGACATTTGATTAACAGAGTTGTGTAGATGATACATTAAAGGGCCTCCACTGAAGTTTTGACCAGAAAATAACAAGCGTTGAAAGCTTTTCACTCAAAGCCGGCTAAAATCGTGCAAAAATCGATTTTAAGTACAACGTTTGAGTATATTTCTTTATTATCTTCTGTAGATGTTTTCATTTTAAGTGAATCACTTTATTTATGCAAGAATTTTTCATTTTTACTCTTTTTGACCTCAGTGGGGCTCCTTTAAAATTAAAAGTACAGAGAAAACCCTGTAAAAATCAATAAAAAAGGTCTTATATACACTCGGTCTTATACATGTATATACACTCGTATATGACAGAAAAAATTAATTACCTAACAGAAAAACAACAAAGAATAAAATAGCATGTTCTACATTCATAACTACATTTTGTAAGAATGAGGTTAATGTGTGCAATGATTTAAGAGCTGTATTTCTTGCTGTCAGGAATTTCCATTTTCACTGAATACTCGGAATAAGTTCGTGGAAATGGTCCCTAGAACATTAATAGTCCACACATTTGTATGACTCTATTTCACAATACAATGCATTTCAGGGTTAATCCTCCAACTTCCTATTTCACATAAATTTCAGTCCCAATAGATGTACCGGTAGCTCTTGACCTCCGTCCAATTACCTCCATAGCAATATATAGCACAACAGACAGAATGCATGTCGCTGTAGTGAAAATAATTTTTGACATCATACATAACATGTTTGACAACGTGAACACAATGATTCCAGCAAGTCCTTGTAGAACCCGACAACATCCGAACGCAGTTTCATATCTATCAGCAAACAGTGATGATATTAAACCTGGAATTAAAATTACAAAACGTTTAAATTGTAAGCAATAAGCACAAACTAGTTGTAATTGCTTTATAGTAAATAAATCTTAATGATATTTAGCACTTTTTTATTTTATTGTAAGTCTGGCACAAAACAGATTAGATTGTTGTAGTTGAGTATGTAATTGAGTAAAGAGGAGGGCCAAATTGGCGATCTTTAAATGACTCCACTGACTTTTTTTTTCTTTTTTTAACATGACGGGACTGGGAATATTTTTTCCGAAATTTGATGTAGATCTGAACCAAAAACTCTGTGCTTAATTTCAAATCATGTTTTCATCCTGTTTTTTTCCCCATTTTAATTGTGCAAAATTACCCCATTAACTTAAAATGGTTGGAACCCTATTACAATGTACTAGTAACTCAAATTGGGCTATGAATTGCACTACATATCCATTTCAATTTAATACTAAGTGTATTTTTTATTTACTTCCCTTTGCAGATTTTTCCATCTTAAGTGCTTTTCTTAATCTATGTAAAGTTTTCAATTTCTATGCGTTTAGGTTTTTAGACCTCAGCGGAGCCTCTAAATCTCTATCTAGTAAAACAATAGTTGATAAAGACATGTCGGATTTTGCCGGATATCAAATGACACAAAAGAATTTCTCAACGGTCATACGGTCAAACTACATTTAACAACCATGTAGTCTGAAATCTAAATTCAGTAACAAACTAATTTTCGCGTTACGCTTAATAGTACAGTTATTTTTAATTTAAAAAAGATTTACTCATAGGTTACCTTTATATCAACAACTCGTATAATATTTAAGGGGTATTTAATTTATTTTAATGCCGCGACATTTAATCAATTAGTAATAATAATAAGTTCAGGCTTACTATTAATCTGAGACTGCCAAATGCCGTCTGCAAATCCCCAAGCACCAATGAAAGCAAACAACAAGTATTGGTCGTCACTAGATGGTTCCCAAACCGCCATCAACGCAAGTGAGGTCACATTCAACGCAGACGCTACAAAGTAAAAATTACATCATTTCAATACCGTGAAATTCATTTTTAAAAAAGGATTAAAATAATTTGAAGTAAATGAACGCTTACCACCAAGCTTGCAAAGATTAAAGTACCGTCGACATAGGGATGGCAACTGTCCTACCTGAAAACTGAAACACAATAAACCTTGTAACTTACCTATATGTTTATATCCCTGCTTGGTCGAAGAAAGGGGTAGTGTTTTGCAAAAAAGTAACGGCATGTGATCGAATTGAATTTGAACTAGAGTACCGGACAAAGTCGGATCAGTATACGCCCGAATGCAAATTTGTTTGAGGAATCAAGCACCATACTGGGAGAGATACAGATTATGATGATTCATGAAATATATATTGTATCTAAATGATCCTCATGACAGCTGCAAGTGACAAAATACTGTCACAAAAGCTTTCTATCTAAGACAGTGGTGGTTAAACAGCAGACAAAGCTACCAACTGTTTCTCTTGCTTTCCAGTAAAAATTATCATGTATTCCTAAATCTGAATAATTCAAAGAAAAATGAAAACACTACTTGCTGCGCGTGTATAAACTGAACAGCTTACAATCATTTCGTCATTTCACTTAAACAGATACCTTCACTACGCCCCTTTACTTCCCGATAGGGTATTCACATACCTGCAAGGGTAATCTATTCTAAAAATAGATCAACAAAGTACTTACAGAGTATGTATACCTTAATCAGGATTTTAAATGACCTTTACCTTGATCTGAGGAAGCCAATCGTTCTTTTCATATTGATTTACATTTCTGCGAAAATAATCTTAAGATCCTTCCGTCTGTTCAAAAGATACAAAGTGAGGAGGCCCAAACATTGCCTCATGGTTTACATTTCTGCCATGTAGTTTCAATGTCCTTCCAGATAAAAAGCAGCACGAAATTACTAACGAACTGCAGAACGGACGGACGGACGACCTTGTGCATAACATCATACGCCGAAATTCTTTCGAGCAGATAACAAGGAAATCCTTTTGCCGGATAAAAATAGCTTAAGGCGATCACTTTAATGTGTGTCAAATAAAGCCCAACGCTTTATTCTCCCTGTGGATACATATACATAATGGACCTTTGCAAAGGTAGTGTAACATTGGTAAGTGTGTCCTCAAGTGATTTAAGAAACATATTGTGATGTGACTTGGAAAAGTGTGGGCACATACGCTTACTCGTTCGAGTTACTTAACATTTTTGAGACTGCGTTCCATGCAACTCACTCTCTTTGTCGATCATTGTATTCTTTCTTTGGCGAAAGACTCTCGCATCGTCATATTTTATTTTATTTCAAATAGAAATAGCATACCTTGGTAAACAATCTAACACTCGATAAGAGTCACATCGCTTCATCATAGTTAACCTATGACCCCGTAAAGGTGCAAACACTACATTGAGTGCACAAACTCATCACACTAACCAAATCCTTTCGTCAATATGCCATCAGTTGATCACCGCCCGACTGTTATTTTGGACATTTGAAGATTAAGTAACAGTAACTTGGTTACTTAATTTAAACCACTGAAATCAAATGATCAAAATTAACTTGCTGTCAATCAGGAATTGGCCTTGCCTCGTCTGATGGCGCTGTAAATGATATAATCATGTATTAGGTATCATATATACTAGGTATCAACATGGGAAGTCGGAATTGTCTAGCCCTATTGATCTTACATCTAAAGCTACAATACTTTATCAGTGTATTTCAACACTTACTTAGCCTGCTAATGATTATTGGTAAACTTATTATTCCATTATATCCCCCTGAATTATCTACAATTTACATTTATCAGAATGTACATATATTTACAATGGCCAACAGTTCAATATATCAATGTACAGTCATAAACGCCGTACTCACCCACTATAAATGCTGCCAGGTTGCCTGTACATTTAGCCAGTTTCCCAAATATGTAAGAACTAATTGAGCCGCAGATTCCAAAACATATCATCGAGTATCCTACCATTCTCACACCAAGTGGACATGTAACGTATGCCTAAAATGATCCATATTTGTGACATATGTTTGTTTATTTCTTGTTGCCACGGAGACTTTTTTCGGGTAAAATAATGCCAATGTGTGTATTTCATGTACATTCGCACATATAGGATAAAAAATCAAATTTCTAACATAATTATTTAAGAAAAATTATGATGTGTCAGTACTTTTCATCTCTATATAATTGAATAAATAATAATTATAGTTCAAGTAAAACAGAAAATAAGAATCCCTACAGATAGTCCAAATCAAAAACAAAATATTGCAGGTTCGGTTTGATTGAGCCTGTTCATGGACAGTACTACTGTCCACGCCCCCTAGCATCGGCTTAAGCAGAATTCAACATTTAAATATGAAATGATAAATTTTTTAATTAAACCGAAGACTCAAACATACACCAAGATTCAATTTAAGAATGCACGATTTTACAGGTTATTCTTGCCATAATGGAGCTAAATTAAACCATTACCTTGAGGACGTCTGCAACAACAAAACCATTGCTAATTACAGTGTAGAGGCACAACATTACGATAAAGCAAAACTTAGGGTCTATCACCATAGCAACAACGGATCCTGCTTGTGACAAAGATTCCCTCAGAGTTAAGCGATGTGGTGTATAGTTGGGAAGTTTGTCCAAAAAGCACTGAATGACCAAAATGGATAGAACTGCGCAACTGGAATATGTACCAAGTAAGAATAGTTTATCGAGATCGTCAACATTTGATTTAGACTCACTGTCAGAGCTCAACTCACAGTGGGCAGCACCACATTTACCCTTGGCAACTGCTTCGTTAAAGTTTATATCCGTTAACTCGGTGCCGGTACCATTTGAGATGAATTCGTAGATAATTGTTGATGCATTGTTTATATTTTCAGTTATTGCACGATCGTCTTGATGCAGTTTCATTCTTTTATCCGACTGTGAAAAGATTATAGAGGATATAAGATTTCCGAGAACCATTGACATCTGTAGTACCAGGAAAAAGATGCCAAAGTAGCGGCTTAGTACACTGCTGGTGATCTTTCTCTTCAGAAAAGCTTCGTCGAGTCCCAGCTCCGTGATGTATGTGCACAGAGCATTCCATAGCAAGGCATTGCTTAAACCATAGATAACTGAGGCAGGAATGATAACATAGAAGCTTGGGAAATAGTTAGCAACAACGTAAACTAAATGCCCGAAACAAGATACAGACATACATAGTTTTGGTTTATATCTTTGAACAATAAATGGACTTGCCAAACTTCCAAACATAAAGGCTCCGAATAACGTTGCTAGTGAGTACACGCCAAGTCCACCTTCACTATTCATTCTGCTGCTTTGCAGATTCCGGAGGCCAAATATTGCAACATGTAACAATGTTACGCCGGTACTAAGTATCAGCAAATTTTTTAGATTTTTCGTCTTAACAGGGGCAGCAATGTCAATCGTTTTGTCATCATTGGTGAACTTCGTAGATTCGCCAAACATGGATTTATCAAACTGCATACTGCCTATCTTTTCCTTAAATATTTTAGACAAGAGTCTGTCCTGTCCAGCAGATAATGGATTGAATCCAAGGCGCTCGACTGTGTTAGAGTGATTCTTGTAAACATCACCTGACCCATAGATGCTACAGACACTCCCAAACTCCCATCCGCTTCCAAAAACATTAACTGGATTGGTTTGAACTACCTCAAAATCATGCACAATAGAGTAGGCTATACTTAAATCAGATCCAAATATGTCCTCTTCGTTCTTAATGTTTTCATTTGTCTCGTCAACAGTGACAGTGGTATGGGCATCATTTTTGAACGACATTCAAACTGGTAACCGACTTTTATATCCATCTCGGTCTTTTCAGAGACAATCGACAGTTTCTGGCAGTTTACTCTCGATTGGTTCGTTTACAACAAGAAGAAGCGGAGTGTCACTATTCCAACTTCCGGTATCGGAGTTATCAAATGTTTCGTAATGGACAGTGTCAGTGTTTTCAATATTTGTTAAAGATGGAACAGTCCAAGTTTCCCCGTCTTTTGACTGTGCGCAAAAGTTAATTTCTTCTTCATTGTCACATTGAATTCCATTATTATATTGGGAGTACAACTTGCCGTCATCTGAAATGATTTTAAAATGACGTTCGACTCTCAAGATATGAATATAAAACTGCATTGATTAAAGGGTCCTAAACTATCAATACGAGAACAAATAAATCAATCAATAAATAAATAATGAATCAAGCAATCAATCAACCAAGCAAGCAATCAATGAATCAATGAATGAATCAATGAATATCGAATTTTTTATTTACTTCATGTGATTTTAAATAAACATGATTTATCTACTTTTAGACATATACAGTATACTCAAACTTGAGGAATATTTTCTTACTGTACATTTTGGAACATCAGCAGAGACCAAACAAAACACATTGAAACTATTACCAGCTAAATATACATGGCTATAGATCGCCTTAACCAGTAGTTAGAAAATTTAAGAAAATCGTCTAATTAACGGGATACATTACTATTTTTATAAAAAAGTATGTTTGAGTGGCGACATGGCCGAGTGGTTAACGCGTCGGACTAGAAATCTATGGATCGGTAGCCGTGCGGGTTCGAAACCCCATTGAGAAAGACAGTTGAACGGATTCTAAAGTGTCTATAAGCTTACAGCTTCCTACACAGTCGAACTAAAATAAACCAAAACATGTTGCAATGAGGTAACAAAAAATATACATGTATGTACACAGATGAACGTCGCGTGGCCATTGACTTACACTATACCCCCAATCACCCTCTATAACCCAAAACCCTTAAACATCATCCAAACATCATAAGTATTGACAAAAATTAATTTTATGAAAAAAAAAATTATGACTCTAAAACATTATTTTTTTTAGAGTCATAAGATTATTTTTTTCATAAAATTTATACTTGTCAATACGTATTATGTTTGGTTTTGGGTTGTAGAGGGGGAATGGGCATGGCCACGCGACATTTACCTGTGTGTGTGTATGTATAAATATCGATCTCTACTTTACATTAACCTTAAATCAATCATTATAGGTATGATGTACTTACCTGCGAGTACTTCCATTTTTTGTTCTCTTCAAAATCCTTCTTTAATTCTTAAGCAATTAAGTTCCTAGAAAACAGAAAGATATTATGTGAGTCTTAAACTAGTATAATCTTTTAAATTAAAATTTAAAAGATTGAAAAGCTCGAAATCTTAAACTTTATAAAAATAAAAATATAAATTATATTAAAATATACAACACTGCAATATCGTTGTTCATTCGAGATTTATCCATACTTCATAAAATCCGGCAACATTCGGGTTAATGGAAATAATAGTATTGGACGTGAAAAGAGAAGCGTCTAGAAGAAAACATGGATTTTTGCAATCTGTATATTGATCGGAATCATCTGATAATATTACATACGTGTATGTTAGTTAATTCACTGATTTACGTCAATTGCGATTCGGTTAAAAACAGTCGAGGGATACCGAAATGGAAAACGATGACATAATAGTAATAATAATAACCATAACTTTATTTACAGAAGGTAACACATTACGCCATAAACAGATTTGTACAACCTTTTTTACAACGCGGCCTTCTATCAAATGTCCACGGATCTTCAATATATCAAAGTATTTATTAATTTAAAAAAAAAAGAAACTTAAAATAATGATTTTTTCCTGCTATATTTATCAATGCAAACGAGTATATGACACGATTGTATTTATAGTTTATTCAGAACGCGGCACTCATGTACATTGTATATCGTATTTTTTTCTTGTATTATTTTTTCGTCGCTGTTTAAAATTATCTTTGTTTGTCAGTAATTATTTTTGGGAGAGCAGACAAGTTTGCTACGTCACTGACACTGTCCGTCGTAATTGCTCAGGAATCCGCCGTTTAAATTTTAAACTAAGATAAACTCGGGTGTTTTATTGAATAGATACGGTAACGTGCAATATCACGCAATGCTAAGAAGGTCAATGAACAAACCTTCTGTAAGGTTCAATTGTTTCGTTCTTAATACTGAACCATTCTTAGTGACATTAAATATTGCCTTTTAAAAGTATGTGAAATATATGTATGATACAAGAATCATTTATCTTACAAAATTTGTTATAACAAACATACCAGAAATAAGATACAAATAACTCGTTGTTAGAATATAATAATTAATAGTAAACGAAAGTAAAGTTCTTACCTCATTTTATATCCGCTGATTACGATATCATGAATAATGAGATAGAAGCGCCCTCTCGCAGCGAGAGACAAAATAAATCTATAAAAGGGTTGTTCAATAAAGCAGGGGAAAAAAGAGAATATTTGATACTTTTCTGTTTCGCGTTTTTAGAAGTATATAATGCATTGTGTATTTGTTGTATTTTTTCCGCTGCTGCATGCTGTTGTTGTTGTTGTTTAACGTATATATAACCAGTAAAAATCATAGAACCTTATCAGCCGCTTTTTAGAATTCAGAATTAAATAAATTTTCTCATATAAGTTTAACCGTTTTCGTCATATATTTCTAGTTTCGATTTCTAGTATATATTGAAACGAATAATCCATACAGACGCTTATTTGTTTCAGCACCATGTCATACAAGCGCTTACTTAATCTTTTTTGACACGGAAAGTGACGATATGTGCCGAATATAATCAATCTTAACAAGGATGTTTTATTCATGCAACATAATATAAATATACTGTAAATTATGTTGCATCAGAATTCGTTGAATGTTTGTAGATATATGAAACAGGAAGAAGATATATATTTTCATTATTGTTTCCCCTTTTTTAAGCGCTTAAAGGGTTTGAACAATTCTGTTTTAACATTATATTATGCTATCATCTAGGACCTTCATTGAAAAATTTTATTCTTGAACACAGCTATTTTTTACTTAACAGCATATAAACATAATTACAAGTATAACGATGCAGGAAAAGTCTTTCGAGAAGACATATGACTTCTGTAGTATCCCGAAGTACATGATATCTCTACCAATCCACAGTCAGCCACACAACCCCCCCCCCCCCACACACACACACACATACACCCCCCTCCCCCCCTACACGGTCAACCAAGCTGAACATATATATTGCCTTAATAGTCATATTAGGTTAACAACTCATTGTTATGCTCGATATTGATATTATATGTAAAGAGTATTCGATTGCGATTTATTAATTACCATTTTATTGATTAAATGGCCATATGTAAACGAGTATATACGCTATAACAGTGTATACGTGCATGTATGTGCCCTTATAAAAATAAACCGATTCTTTTTAACAGCCCACGCGAGAGTTCATTCCGGGTTCATCTGACGATCGATCGAATCTGGCTTGAACCAGATCAGTCTTCACAAAACTGCTTTTTCTGAGTTTGCGGAAATTTTCAATATGGTGTACAGGACTGGCCATAATTCGATAATGTTTTTTTTTATGTTCTAGATTCAAGACAAATGTTTGGAGGCTTTTCCGCTTCAAAGTAATTACTTATTGTGCGTGGAGAGAGATAAAATGATAAATAATACATGACAGATATTTACAAAACTTATTAATGTCATTCTCATCACTAGTTTTTAACATAAATTGTATTTGTATAATTGTACTAGCTAAAATAATGAATTGTTTAATTGTTTAAGCTAAAAATTATACATTGAGAAATTCAATCTTATAGGACAGATAAAGTGGCCGTGGCTCATTTACATTTTTTTTTCTCAGTTTTCTTTTCGTGCCCACATTCTGGGGGGGGGGGATTTATATTTGCCCTTGTCCGTTAGTCAGAGTGCGTCCGTGCGGTCTCATGTTGTGTAGCCCTAAATTTGCTTGAGCTATCGTCAGCATACTTTACAGGAATGTTGAATCAGCATGTGCACCTGTGGTTTCGCGTGTGGATTTATTCGGTTTTGTTAGAGTTATTGTTCTTGACTTAGTAAAAAATTTGGCAATTTTCAAATTGTGTCGCGCGTAGTTCAAAAAGAATTTAACCTAGTCATGAAACTTTACAGAAATGTTGAACAGCATGTGAAGTTGTGCACCTGGGGGTTTGCTTGTGATTTTTTTCAGTATTTGTTATGAGTTATTGCCCTTGACTTAGTAGAAGATTTGCAATTTTCAAATTGTGTCACGCTTAGCCCAAAACGTATTGGACATACAGTCATGAAACTTTACAGTACTGTTAGTCAGCATGTGTTGATGTTCATATGGGGGTTTCCGTGTGGATTATTTCACTTTTGTAAGAGTTATTGTCCTTAATTTATGATAAATTTGCAATTTTCAACTTGTTTGTGGGTAGCTTAACAAGTATTTGACCTGGAGTTACGAAACTTTGAAGGAATGTTTGTTGGCATGTGTTAGTAGTTATTCACTTAGGGTTTGCTTTTGGATTCATTCAGTATTTATATAGCTATTGCAATTTGATTTGTAATTTTCAACTTGTGTCTTGCGTAACTCAAAAGAAATTTAACCTAGAGCCATGAAACTTTACAGGACTGTTGTTTAGCATGTGTAATTGAGCATTCTTGGATTTTACTTGTTTTTATTTTCTTTTAAGAAGATTTAAGGATATAAAATTGAGATTTGAAATTCTTAATATTGGGAAAAATGAAGAATGTCAGCATTGGATGAGTTGGATGACGTTTAAGTCATGTAGAATTTCCTTTGTTTGTACCTCTGTCATATTGTCTTGCTATACGTCAGTAGACGGACAAAACAGTGGGTTGGGGGTGGGGGCATCTATGTCTCTAATTCTTTACTATACTATTTCATTATTTATGTATTTATTTATTTGTGTTTTACTTACTCTTAAGTTGCGTAGTTTGATAAATGTGTGCCTCATGACACCTCGACAGGTTATTTATTTTTTAATCTTTTTCGCACCGTTTGTTAAACGTACTCTTGTTATGTTGTCAATAGGTTAGTTAACGATTAATAGTAGATGGTTCACCAGTTTTTTAATAAGGTTTACAATATAATTACCCGAAGTTACTGAACCTTGTCTTGCCAGTCTATACAATGTGTACCATATCTTGCGATTACAAGCCCGTATCCAGTGTACCTTTGTTGGGAGCAAAAAATATATCTTGAGACTTCCTTGCGATAACGTTGGCGTTGGTAGTTTGAACTTTCCACTCCGGATTACGTCTCACTCCGGATCACGGCAGTGAGCAATATTGAATTTACCAGAGCACAACCGCACCATTCCTGTGCAGGCTGTCAAGTAGTTTACCAGAACAGGTTGCAGAGAGACAGTGCGAATGACCGTAAAAAAGATTTCATAATCAATCACAACGAAAGTCGAACTCGGGTCGCCCGATTCACAGTCCAACGCTCTACCTATTGAGCTAAGCGGACGACTAACTTGCGACAACAGGAATGCGACTTGTTTATATATACTCTTGAATAGGTGTTATCCGGAACTCGGCAAATGTGGGTTTCCGGTACAAACTTTTACCGTTATAGCTTCACAGTGCACAACCTGTCAGAATAGATAACTTATTTTCGAAGCTGTTTAAGTAATTGGATGGGGGTGGGGGGGAACTAATTTTCTAAAATCCGGAGTATATCTTTTATGCGCACGATAATTTATAGGTTAACGCGATAATTGTGTGCATTGCCCTTAAGTTAACTTTTAAATATCAAAAAAAAAGAAAAGAAAAAAAGAAAAGAAACAACGTGTTGCTTAAAATTTAAACATTTTTAACGCGATATTATTAAGTGACCAGGGTCTATCGCAAAATCTAGTTTTTATATAGTGGCAGAAATATGCAAACATTCAATCCCAAAGGAAAATAAACTAAACATGTTGGCAATGAAAGTAATTCGTAGTCTGAAATTTACATCAAAGTTATGAATGATTCTCTTCCCGCAGGCTTTAATAATGATTTGTTTACGTAAATAGCAAGACGACCTTGGTATATCACTTACGTGCCCTTGAAGCTTATTTGAACCTTATCCAAGCAGAAATATTTTTGTGCAAATATCAACCAAAGCAAGAAACAAAACAAAAACATTAAAAAAAACAACACATACTTATAAATAAATAAAGTGAGTGAGTGAGTGAGTGAGTGGGTGGGTGAGTGGGTGCCTGTCTGCCAACACACACACACACACACACGCACACGCACACGCACACGCACACACACACACACATTAATAAAGAAATTAATTAATAAAGAAATTAATTAATAAAGAAATTAATTAATCAATTATTAATTAATTAATTAATTAATTAATTAATTAATTAATTATTAATTTATTAATTGATTAATTAATTAATTAATAATAAAAGAAATAAAAAAAGAAATTATTCATCCATTTAATAATTATAATAATAATAATAATATTATTATTATTTTATTATTATTATTATTATTATTATTATTATTATTATTATTATTATTATTATGTGTAGTTTATACGAGTAAAAAGTAAATATTTATCTGTTTTTCAAGGTCACGTATTTCTATTAGAAAATAAAACCTTGTTAAATGAAAAAGTTATAGTTTCACGGCAGGTCTAAATTTGTATTTGATTACAACGTCCAGTGATCCTTCGTGAACTTAAAATGACCGGACGATTGCCTTGACAGGAATACCAGCATGAGAAAGGAGTTAAGATTAAGGTCTCTGCCTCTCAACCCAGAGGTTGTAGATTTGAGTAGATATTTGGTCGCAACGATGTTTCCTTTTAACGCCACCAGTACTGATATTTTCAGAAAACGGACTCGGTGCAGATAAGCTTTCTCCACAATTTAGCTTTAAGCAGAATGCTTCCAGATACATGCTTATTTTCAAGAAAAGAGTTTGTAAATGTATTAAAAAGTTTAATATTGCCAAGTAGACAAAGAATTAAAGTAATTTACATATTGAAAAGTAAATTTTCGGGGCAAAGAAAAAATGCAAAACGAAAACTCAAAAATACTTGTTCGCTTAGAGGGGCGAAATGCGAAAATCCGCCAATTTTATCTTTGGCGTGTTTTCTCCAGGCGACCTTTCGTCCCGCCAAGCGAAAACGCTCCACATTTTATCCGTCGTGTTTTAGCTTTAATTGGTCGTGTCCTCGCCTAGCGGGCCGAAAACTCAGCACACGATAACAAGCCATATTTTACATCTCGTGTTTTTTGCCTGAAATCGGTCGTATCTTTCGGGGCATCTCTCGAAAACACGAAAAAATCACTTAGTATTTTCGCCCCCGGTAAGGCATGCGCACCTCATCTACACATATGCTACACATACAGAAGAAAATGGAGAGTAATCAGAATGATAGCTAGTATACTTATTTCTATATCTATAGTTTGATTTGAACTTGTGTTTTGTGTGACGGTCGCCACGCGAAAACACGACAAATTTATAATTTGTCGTGTTTTCGCAAGACACGTTTTCGTCCGCCATATAAAGATATGACAAACTTTAGATATAGACACGCACACAGAATGTGACGTGTTTTCATGTGGCGGAGCGATAAATCGCTAGGGAAAATACGCAAAAATTGCATTTTTTCCC